CTTTCAAAACATTATAGAGAATTGTACTCCTCCTTCAGCCAGTTCAGCTCTGATCCAGCTCTGATTAAGGCCCTGATCCAACGAGCCACTTAAGTGCGTGTATAATCTTATGTCAAGGAAACTATTCATGTGATTAAAGTTGCATTGGCTCTTAGTCCTTAATTAAACAAATCACTTAAGATCTGAACCTGAAAAGCAGCCCATGCAAGATGCTTTGCAGGATTAGGACGGGATAGAGTTGGGTTCATATATGATATGCATACATAGAAATATTCACACATTTTTTGGACTGTGCTCACAGTCCATTATTATCCATTGCTTTTTGTAAAGATTAATTTTAAAGTTGCATGATCACTAATTTTAAATTTCAATACAAAAGACGAGGATTTCTTAAGGTGATATCTTTTATTGGACCTGCTTCAGAGTTAGGATGGAGTTAGACAAACTTTTGAAGATATTCTCCTTTTAGGCCTGACCAAAACAAGTCAGGCATAGCATAGTCATAATCATAGTCATATATTGTGTTTGGCATGTTCTAGTCAGCCCTGGAGAAAAAGGTCTTGCATTCAAAAGCTTGTCTAACTCTATCCCAACTATATAGTTGGTCCTATAAAAGATATCACGCTAAGAAAACTTTGCCTGACACAATTTTTGGCTCATCAGAGCTACCTCAGTCTTACACTACCAAATTTCAACAGGTAATTTTTGATGACAAAAGTACCTGTTTGCTTAGTTACTTGGAGAACAAAAATAATAGTGATATATGTAACCAATCAAATGGTTTTAAAAAGGTGCTTCTATTTATGAATGGCACGTGTATGAAAAGTTTATGATCAAGTCACAGGATGAATTTTGAGAAATAATGAAACTGCTCAAATGTTGATTAATTCTGAGGGAACTGCAAGTTGTTTGCAGCTTTTGTGCAAGCAGGAAAAAGGATAAGCTCACTGGATAAATGGTTTATTGTGCATAGCTCATTGAGCCCTGCTAATTAATCCTCTCAATATCCTTGTGAGTATTATATAAATGTTATTGTAGAATTATTGTTCATTTATATGATATGTGAATTTTGGAGGTGAAACTGTTATAGAGAGATTAGTTCTTCCAAGAACTATACATGCTTTGAGGGACAAATTTGGGTCTACTAGGTATCCCTTGTTTTATATTCAATATACTAATCCGTATTCTCTATAAATAATGGATGGTTCACTGTTAATTTTGTTGCTCAGGTTGTATTATGTTTGCACTTAAGGCAGGAGCTCAATCTTTTTGTTGTATAAGAAAAAACTCAATGACATTTCATTCTGTGCCTTTCTGCTTGTTTACATGGGGGGACTGTCTAGTGAATTAGCCGTGCTGGAATAGCTATTCAGTCAAACTAATTCTACATTAGTTCTCAAACATGCTTATTCCTAGGGTGACCATAAGGAAAACCAGGGTGTCCAGGGCCCTGCCTGCCCTCCCTTCCCCTCCATGTCAATTCACAAACTTGTTTTGCAATATATTCTCTCTTTAGGCAAGCCCTAAGAAATGAATCCTATTACTTTCCAAGAGAAAGGTTGATTGGTGCATCTGTTTACATGACAAAGACTGTGTGTGCACACGCGTGTGTGTGCAGGGAATGGGCATGTTAAGGCACCTATTTACATCTCCCCTTAATGGTTTGCAGAGCTGCCTGGACTCTCATTGCTTTCTGTTGTTTCCCTCCAACATGCTGTTTCTTCATCCAGCCGCATCCTTAGCACATTGCCTATGTTAGGCTTTGTGGGGTGAGGGGAGTTCCTGGGAAGAAGACTTATTGGCTACCTTCCATTCCTGTATCTCGTTCCTCAGATCCTATTAATTTATAAATAGCAAATTGTATGTCAAAAGTTTGTGCACACTAAGGATTGTTTGGGATGAGATGGCTTTCTGAGGTTAGGTAATTATTTTGATAACTAGCAAACAAGATAAAAATTAGCATTCTTCATAATGACTTAATTCTTCATTCATAATAGTTACCTGGGAGATAACAGCTAATGATGGCGAGGATCTGCTACAAAGTAGCAGTTGCTGATTTGTTATAGCTTCACAATATTGGGCAGTTCAGTGGTTCTTATTTTATGTGAAATAAATGGTTAAAAATGTAGATGGTTCCTTCTACCAAAGTGTTTAGCTAAGTCTGGAGTAGAACTCGTTATCTCCCTTTTTAACAAACATGACTAAGAATACAATTAATTTGCTATATTTGGGATCAGAAAGGAATTTTACCCCACAGTCAGATTGGTGATGAGGAGCATAGTCTCCTCACTTGGATCTTCTGAGTATTTTTAATAACACTTGCAACAGTAGGACTTTGACAGTATCCCCATCTCCCTCCTCTACTTGTGGTAGGTTAGAGTGCCCTTGGTGTTCTAGGGGAATGCAGAGACAGGGTTGTGCAGTTTTAGGAACAGGTTAGACGAGCACCTGTATGGGATTAGAGATGATCATGCTTTGAGCAAGGGATTGGACTAGATGACCTTTGATGTTTCTTTCCACCCTACTGTTCTGTGATTCCATGAATAACTTTCCAAAACTCTGCTTAAACCTCTGGAGGCAATGTATGTTCTAGAGAGTGGGAGAACAGTGGAAGGCTGTAATTATTTTTCAATTATTTTTTAAAAATATAAATTTTGATGTGACATGAAAGACATAACTGTACATTTCTACAAATATGTGTGTGTGCATGTATGCTTTTATTTCCTCATAAAGTCCTTATAAAATCAATAACAATCTTTTTAATAGATTGAAACTGGAGGTCTAGTTATCTGCTGCAAATCCCTGTGACAAACCCAGTATAGAGAATGAACTTCCTAGCTCACAGAATCCTCTGTATGCAGGGGACATTGTTCTGCCCTTTGCAATGAGTTTGGGATTCCTAGCCTCAGAGCAGTGGGGCTGCCTTTGCAGATGGACTGTGTTGGGAAGGAGAGGCAGGAAATTAATTTGACCAGGAAACATTCTGGTAAAAACATCAACCAAATAAAAGAAGAAAAGGGAAATGCACAGAGAAATGCATGGTACGGTGTTGAATCCTGAAGTTATCATTTGACATGAATGTAATCTTTAATGGAAACGATTTGGAAACAAGGCATACAAAATCCATCTGTTATGACACTTAGTTTCCCTAAGATGCATTCCCTTTACAAGTTAGTGGAGCTAGCTGGAATTAGCAACACAACAAACATGAAAGGTGTTATCAAGCAGACACGTCTATATTATTGTTCTAGTTGCTAGAGCTTTCAGAAAGAATTAACTCTCATTGACTGGGATATGTTATTAATATGCTTACTCTTTGCAAATAACATCTGATAAGCTAACTGATTCCCAGGATTGTGAACCAATCTGTATTAGCAAATACAAAATAACACTTGAAGAAACTGATTGGAAAAAAAGGTTTTGGATTTTTTTTATGTTTTGAAAACTTCTGTTCCTATAGAATTTTTAGTTTTACATGACTCAGTAGGTATCTGTTGCAACATCTGGCCCATTAACTTCTCAATTATCAACATCTCACAAGAAATTAAAAGAGCTTTCAAGTGATCTGAATTACTCATTTGAGAAACCACTGTTTCTCTGAATATTGTTCAAGCCAGCCCACACCAGCATGAATGCAGATCCTATCAACATCTGTAAAAGATCTCGAGTCTGATGAGTTCGTTGGTCTTGAAAATATTTGTCTCTCTATAGAGAATTCTTATCTCAGGTTTCCAGAAGCTAAGGGGACATATTTTTGCGCCTCTTAAAGTTAAAGAAAAGGAGTAGTTTAGAGGAATCTGTAGGACTTTAGCACATGATAAGAGTTCTTGTTTATTAATAAGGTGCTGCTCATTAATCCATTATTGATATTTATGGTGGAGTTTTCTTGGGTGCAGGGGGGAGGAGGAGGGATACATTTTAGGGTCTTAATCCTGAAAAATGTATCGATGTGCTTAACATTATACACATTGGAGATCTCTTTGGACTTTTGTAAAAGTTAAAGTAATGTGTAAATATTTGCAGGATTGGGAGTATAGTAATTAAGAATATTACTCAGACACTGACTGTTGTAGGGTCAAACAGGTGCCTCATTGAACAGCATGGTTTGCAGACATTCTTATACTCCAGGCCCTAATCCTGTGAGAAGGATGTGCCAGCATAAAACCCTGGCACTCACACCAGTATTTTAATTGGCTTTGTAAATGCTGAAATCAGCAATTAATTATTTTTAGAGTTGTCAGACTTCATCATTACTGTTAATTTCAGCAGAGGGCCAGTACTTGAGTAGCCACAGGTTAGAGATGACAGGTCACTCTCACAACACTGGGCTTGATCCTGGAGAACTAAAAACACAAAACTGCAATTTTTCTCTTCCTTTCTAGCTCAGAGCATTGTGAATAGCACTGATGCAGCAGTTGAAACAACAGAGTGCATCAAGGGGCAAGGTGAGGGCTACCGAGGTACTGTGAATAACATATGGAGTGGCATCCAGTGTCAGCGCTGGGACTCCCAGTTTCCTCACCAGCACAACATCACTCCAGAAAACTTCAAGTGCAAGTGAGTAGATACATGCAAGTGTCACAGATCACAGGACAGGGATTAGTTCCCTGTAATTTAGGGATTTGTGTTGTCAAGGAGCATTTAAAGAAAGGTTATTACTTTTTAATATATCATCATCGCTATTAGTCTGCATTCTGACACATTCATTATTGTCCTTAAGGTAGAGAGCTGCCAGAACATTGCAGGATTGTACGAACACATGTTTATTCTCTTTAAAAAAAAAAAAAAAAGACGAAAAAAAAAGAAAAAAAAAATAACAACGAATTGCTCCCAGACCATGTTTATTTTTGTACAGGTAAAACCCTGGTCCTGTAAACATGTGCCCACGAGCTTAATTGCAATCTCACTGACTTCAAAGCTAAGTGCATGTATGTTTGTGGGACTGTGGCCCAAATCCCATACATGTTAATAAATTATTACAATTTCTTGGAAGGACAAGGGTAGTTATTCATAGTTTTGATATTTAATTTAGCTGAGTCTTACTGTGTTCATTTTTTAGAGCTAGTCATAATCTCATTGAGAATACTCCACATGTATGATATTTATGCAGGGGTTTTTTTTAATTTTGCATTCTTCTTGATGTTTTTTCTCTTTTGTTAATTTTTACATTTCTAGCATGTGTTTTCATCACTCTGCCTAAAATAGTCCATTGATTTCATAGACAGAGCACAAGGTTTTTAGTTTACTAATCTCAGATCAGAAAAAATAACTTGTCCTGCAGTTTTGGGCAACATGCTTAGCCTTGCTATCTCAGTTGTTTTGTTGTTCTTTGCTAGGAGAGCTCTTGTCAGTGTTATATGATGTATTCATGTGTGTACAACAGTTTATTTTGAAGTTAAATAAAATGAACATTAGCTGGAGTAACTTGGATCCAGGTACAAAGCTAAGGTATTCTCCTATGTGGCTAAGAATAATAAGTTGAATTCACCCAGGCATGGGACAGAAGTTACACACATGCTGGTTTAAGTGATCAGAAACTGGTTTAAACCTGTAACAGAACAAAAGTTCAGTGCACATAAATCAGTTTCAAAATGACCAAAACTAGTTTAAGGTAAACTTGGTTAAGAGTAGTATCAGACTTAACTGATTTAGGTCAAACCAGTTTATGGAACTTCTGTCCTGGACCCCTTCCTGATTCAAGTTAAATCACAGTCCCCCAGCATCCCAGGATGCTTTGCAGCCCTGTGCTGTGCTGTGTTGTCTGCTCAAGCACAGCAGGATTGGCCCGCCCCTTTGGTTTCTAGCTGGAGCAGTGAGGGCTGGCTAACAAGGGTATGGGTGGTGGGAAACCGCCAGCCCGGTCTGTTTGGAGGGGACAGAGCAGCCTTTGCTAGACTTTTCCTCCCTGGAATGGAGGGGGAAGGGGCATGGGACAGCAGGCTCAGGTGGAGGGGGATTAAGCCCTTGCCTCCCCTCTTCCACTAGCATGGGACCCTAGCTGGGGTCCCCCCTGTTCGTGGCTCAGCACGGCCTAGGACCTCCAGAGCCCCTCTGCCAGCCAGGGGTGATCCTGCTGTGCCTTCCCAGCTGCCAGGGCAGGGGTTTCACTTGGGGCAGCCCAGGAACAAAGGCTAGATTGCAGGGGAGGGTGGGGAGTGAAACCGGCCCCAACCCCAAGTGGGGACATTCACAGAGCAGAACACAGAGGGGTCACAGCAGCAGTGGTGGCAGCAGTGGCTCCATCCTGGACTTGAGCCCTGCCAAGAAGAAGGACCTAGACTAGGGGAGTGTGGAAGGGGCTCAAGTGTGTCTCTGTGCTAGCTTGGGTCAGAGCTGAACTGAGCATGCAGCTGGGGGAGCAGCTCCTGCCCAGCAGCCCCTTTTACCTGCTGGAGAGTGATGCCTGGATCAGCTCTGGCCCCAGCCCTTGCAGTGGCATTCACAGCTCAGGCTCACCCCAGCAGCACCTGGAGCTGGGCAAGGGCACCAAGAAGCTGGGCGGCATGATGTTGGAGGCTGAGCTGGGACAGGCACTGGGCTCCAAGGAAGATGGGTGCAAGGGCTCCCCAGGAGGTGGGCAGGAGCTGGCCATACATGCTGCTGCTGTGCAATACTCACTCTGCTACTACCTGGTGTCCACTGGATCACTGGGCACTGAACTGGTGTGCCTTGTTCGGTCTTCCCCTACCCAGCAGTAGCGGTGGCGGTGCAGCACGGCCCTGTGTACCAAGCATCAGGCACTACCCCTCTGGCTTCCCCACTGCTGCTGCCGTAAAGGGAGCCTGCCCCAGCCATACTGGTAGGTGCTGTTGGTGCTGCCTGTGCCAGTGAACTGCGGTCAGCCATTGGCTGGGCAGAAAGCAGTGGTGGGGAAACCATAGGAGTAGTGCCCTATGCCTGGTACACAGGGCTGTGCTGTGCCACTGCCAAGTAGGGGAAGAATGATCAGGGTGCGCCCAACTCAGCGCCCATAGCCAAGGGGATGGCAGGTAGTAGCTCAGTGAGTACCACATGGCAGCGGCGAGCACAGTCAGCTGCTCCTCACTGCCCAGGGAACCCTTACGCCCATCTGCCTTGGAGCCTGACACCTGGCCTGGCTCAGCCTCCAGCATCATGTCACCCACCTTTTTGGCATTGCTGGGGTGAGCCCATGCTATGTGTGCCACTGTAGAGGCTGGAGTCAGGCCCAGGGCCGACTAGGTGATGCTCTCCAGCAGATAGAAGGAGCTGTAGGCTCGGCTCAGCTATGCCCTGGGCTAGCATGGACACACACTTGATCCGGCCCCCAACCTGAGTCCCTTTGTTCGGCAGGGCTCACTTCCAGGATGGTGGCACCATCACTGTGAACCCTTTGTGCTCTCCTCTGTTCATGTCCTCATTTAGGTTTGGGGATGGTTTCAATCCCCTTCTTCCCCCTGATCTAGCCCTTGCTCCTGTGCGTCCCCCAGCAAAAACCTGGACCTGGTGGCTGGGAAGGTGCAGCAGGATTGCCCCCTGGCCGGTAGGTGGGCTCTGGGGGTCCTGGGCCATGCTGAACCTTGAGCAGAGGGGAAAAACCAGGCTGGCCACACACCCCACCACTCACAGAGAACTTGGCAAGAGCTGCTTTCCCCTTCCCCCTCCAGGCACACCTGGGTTGGGGTCCCTGCAGGCCAGGGTAGGGGTTTAAAAGTCTCCCTATACTCAGCCTGCCCCGGCCTGACCATACCCCCCGTCAGCTCACCTTCCCTCCAGCCTTCTGGCCACTGCCGAAGGGAAGGAAGGGCTCAGTCTAGTGCTCCCCAGCTTCTAACCTGAGCCACTGCAGACATGTGGCTGCATTTCCAGAATCAAAAATGAATGTCTATTCAGTTGCTTGTTGGTTCAATCTGTGCAGGTTAGACTAACCTGCAAAGATTGAATCAATTCAGGCTTGGGCTTTTTGAATATCTGTACTTAACCCCAGATGTTAAACACTACAGTGGACCTATATCTATGAAGCTGAATGGTCCTGAACTGCCTTAAACATTTCACAACCATTAAAATCCCCAAGTCCTCAAAAAACAATCCATGGACATGAACCTACAGATTTCTTCTCATTCCAAATTACCATTGAAGTTGTGGTTTTTTTGTTTGAATTCAACAGCAGGATTAGGACTATATGTAGTTTAGGCATCTCCACTAGAAAAGTTTAACATTTCATGACACAAAGAATATTAGAGCTGTTCCTGCAGCCAGCATTCGTGTGAATAGTCATGTATAAGAGCTATTGGCATACTTAAGTCAATGGGGTTACATACATGATGGTGGAACAAGAGTTAACAGGCTTGGGCACATTTATTCTACAGTAAATTTACTGACAACTGTTGCACATGGAAAAATACAGTAAGGTCACACACATGCACAGTGAAGAACATGAGAACAATTTTCGACAGACTGGATAATAAAACTTATGTTTGAGAAGTTTGCCTAGTTGGTTCAAGCTGTGAGAATTTTTTTGTAAAGATAATCCCTTGTGGTTAGACTCTTACTGAAAAGGTGATACCTGTATAGTATTTCAACACACATTTTTCATATTTTCAGATATGGTTTCATAATTAAATCAATGACAAACATCAGAGCACCCCTTTCTACCTGTTCAGTGGAGCCATTCAAAGTGCTGGGGACTTTAAGTGCTATTGAAAGGCTTGTAGTTTAAAAAAAATACTTCTAATGGGTTTCAGGTGTATGTGATACCAGCTTGCATGCTATAAATATGTAATCAGAGAAAGCTTTGAAAAAAATGGTGGTGTTTCCCATTTGAAAATAAACCACATTTAAAATGTTATTTAACTTCAAATGAAATCCTATAGCTAGTCAAAGCATGGATCTACTGGAAATCATTCCCCATAACCGCACTCTAGTTGCATTTTTGTACTTTACTAGTCCCTGCATTTTTATTGGCTCTTAATCTGTCTGCACTTGACATTGATCAATAGTATGCAGACCTCAAGGAGCCTGTATTATTGTTAACTCAAAGGCACTAGAACCCTGTAGCAGTCTGAGGGTATGTGCAATGTAAGCTAACATGCTTATTTTTTTACAGGGATTTAAGGGAGAATTACTGCCGAAATCCAGATGGATCTGAGTCACCATGGTGTTTTACAACTGACCCAAACATCCGGATTGGTTATTGTTCCCAAATACCCAAGTGTGATGTCTCAAGTGAACAAGGTAATAGGCACAAAGAGATAAATATAATTTTAAGTAAATGTAACTGGTTCAAGGTGTCAAATAGGTACTCATGAAAATAAGAACCATATTCTAATTTCCACTGTACCCTAAAACTGAATAATTCCATTGGTTTCACTATAATTATTCTAGGGTCACTATGGTGGTCTAAATGAGGTCAAAACTGGCCTAGTCCCTCAACTCCAACAGAGGTGAAGGTTTGCTCCAATTTATCCAGCCAGATGCTCAATGAAGGCAAATAAAATGTTGTCATACAGCTGAGGTTCTGGCATATTATTTTTTTACCAGGTATAGGGGGCATCTTCATGTGCTGTTAATGTGCCTGAATAAACTCCAGTGCAGTTCATTTGTTCCTCTACAGTGAATGTCTGTTCACTTGTGCCTGGGACCATATCACGCTGAGGCAGGATGGAGCAGCCCCAGCTGGCAAGTGTCCTGGTAGGTCAGCCTGCCAGCCCACAGCTGCTCTGCCCCAGCTCAACGTGCTGCAGAGGGGCTGGTTGGGGTACAAGGGTGCTACAGTGCGGGGCTAGACAGCAGGCAGCCCTGCACTGTAGCACCCTTGTGCCCCAGGTAGTCTGGGTCATTGTCCACAGATGCATTGCAGCATACTAACCTCTGCTATAGGACAGTACTTGTGTCAGTCAGTACTGTTGTACAGTGGAGTTAATTAATTTATTGTGACTTAATAGTGTCACACATGTAGACAATGAAGGTTTACTGTAGAGCTAATTAATCTACTGCAGTAAATCACATATGTAGATGTGCCCATATTGATCATCTAATGATGGAGATTTTTTTTTAATAGTTTGAACCGATGATTCCTATGAGATAGTTTGTAACAATTCCATGTACATCACCTCTGGGAATAAAATAATTAGTATAGCTGTGAACTTTAAACAAAATCAAAGACTAAAACATTAAAGCTAGGGACAGAAATTACACATAAATTGGTATAATTGACTGGAAACCAGTTCAAATCTGCAACACAACATAAGTTCGGTGCACATTGCCCACTTTCAAAATGACTGGAACAGGCTTAAGAGAAGCCTGGATGGATGTAGCATCTGATTTAACTGATTTAGGTTAAATCAGTTTATTCAACTTCTGTCCCAGAACCCCTCCAGATTCAAGTTAAGTCTCAGTCCCCCAGCATCCCAGGATGCTTTGCAAGTCCCCTGCAAACCCCACTTCTCAGGGTGGGCTAGCCTTGGCCCAAGCTGTCTGCGGCAGCTGAGCAGGGAGGCTTGCTTTAGTGACCCCCAGCTTCTGGCCTGGGCCACTGCAGGCATGTGGCTGCATTTTCTGGAATCAAAAGTGAATGACTGTTCACTTGCTTCTCAATTCAATCTGCGCAGTTTGGATTAACCTGTGAAGATTTAACTGATTCAACCTCAGGCTTTTTGACTGTGTGTACTTAGCCTAAATGAGCTTTCTTTATAGCTATTCTTCTATAACCAGTCCTTGCCATTCCTACAAGGTGCGTTGTTATCCCTTGAGAATGGAGAGTGACACAACATCTTGTTAAATATGCCTGGGTGTTACATTAGAACCTACTTCACAATGATATTAAATAATAGATGCAGATTCTGGCATTCACTGAATATTTTCTTGGTGGGATAAGGAAATGAGTAGTTATTAACAATAAAATATCTGCTTTTGACCAATATTAAATTGTTTATTTTTTATGGGGGGGGTTTTGTGGTATTGGCCATTTTAAATGGTCCCTTTGAAGCTTTTCACACACATTTGGTGTTAATGGGTCATGAAATAAAAATGATTTGTCCTAAAAAAAACAACAATTTTTAAAGATGTGTTAAAGATACTCTAGTCTTTTGCCTTGCCAAAGGAAAGAATAACTTAATTGTTATCTGCTCCTGCCAAAATCCAGAGCTACTACTAATGAGTTTAGAAGTTTCATTCCCAATTTCAGTTGAGAACATCTGGACTATTTTTTTTAAAAGCATAATGCATCCTGGCAGTGTTTTGAAGTTGATTCTTCAGTGACCCTGCAAACCTACTTGTAATCAAATTATTTTGAACAGAAAAAAATTTCCAATTTATCTAAAAAGGAAAGACACACTTTATGATAGGTCTCAAAAATGGGATGTGTCCATCTTAATTCTGGTGGATTATTTTTTCTCTAGTTTTATTTATGTTTGTTTTATCTTGTATATTGTTTGCTAAATATAGAGCTTGATTTATTTAATTATTTGGATGACTTCTAGTATAGAACAGTTTGCTTTTCTACATTGCACACGTTCCCTCAACTTTTCTTTTTCTCAACATTTTTTATCCAGATTGCTACCGTGGCAACGGCAGGAATTACATGGGGAATTTGTCCAAGACAAGATTTGGGCTAACTTGCTCCTTGTGGGACAAGAATATTGAAGATTTAAGGAGGTGCTGTTACATATTAAACAAAGAGTACATGCAATGAGTACCATATAAACACCATTTCCAATTGCCACCTCTGTCTTCTGCAAGCATTTAAAATATCCCTTGGGATTTGCAGGATAATTTTCTTCAACATTTAAGTATATTGCATAATGTGTCTTTGTTCAGGATTACCACTAATTGCAGGCTTTAGCATTTAGTTTACTGGCTAGGTTTCCCCCCTGTCTGCCCTTTAAAAATATTATGCTGAGGAGGAGGGTAGAAGGATTATGTTGTATTTGCTCCCTATGGAACATGAATTATGAATTACTGAGCACTCTCTGAATACTGTCAAGAACAAGACTTGAACAAGAACCGAGATGATGCACTGGTAGAAAAGGCAATGAAATTTGGTAGACATCAGTTCAATTTATTGTTGCAAATGGATCAACACTCCAAGAAAGGTTATGAGCATGATACCAGTGCTCTCTGCAATGCACCTAGTTCAGTTTTACTTGCAGTGCAGACTCTGCTTGTTAGGAAAAGAAGACTAAAAACCTCTCTCAGTAAAGGTACAGTGGGCTTAAAGGCACATGATCATTAAAAATAATGACACATTGTTACTAATGCAAAGCAAATTATTTTCCTTCACTTAGGAAAGTAGTTGTTCTTTGTTTTGTATTTAGTTTCTGCCATCCCTGTTTGGTTCTTTGTTAGTTAACCATTACAGTGTGGGAATTTCTGCACCCACTTGCTGACTGCCTTTATTAATCAACTGCATTTCAGGGATGTGTTGTAATGTGCATATACAGGTTGGGTCCTAAAGTCCTTTTCTAGTTGCATCAGATGCTCAGAATGGGCATGGAAGTAAGCAGCATGATTATCTTGAGTACCCGAGCTGACCAGCACAGAGGGGCTATAGGTGCTGCCACTAATAACAATAAGCTTTGGCCACCTGTTTCTGCTCTGCATATTTCAAACCTGGAACTGTTGCACTGAGGATGTGCCAGAGGTGACCTCTGCTGCCACTCTCAAGATTTCTGTTTCTCAAGAGCAGTGCCTGAGTGTCCTCCTCATTCGACTCATGGTTTTGGTGTATGGGGTGCGGGAGCAGGTTTTGGGCAGCAGCCTCAACAACATCACAGAACCAGTGTAGAGATGCCTATAGTTTGCACCTGTCTGTTCATGGGCATGCATACATGCATCGAGACAAGCTCCAAATCCATTCCCATCTGGGTCCTGTGTTAAGGATATAAGTGTATTTCCACTGAATGGATTTTTTAGTCCTGAATTAGGTAGCGCTATGCTGCCTAGGTTACCTATGGAGAGAGTGAAAGGATTTTCAGCCAGCAGAGCTGGGAGTTGTCTAAGCTTCCAGGAGGAACAGAAGGCACAACCAGGAGATACTTAATGGGATAAGACACAATTTCCCCTTTCAATTACATACTGGGTCAGCTGAGGGAATTTTCCCAGAAAGTTGAGGTCCAAGGAGCTTCTCTTTTTCATATTTGCAGACACATTACTATTTTCCAATAAGTAAATAGAGGTGATGAAATGAGATGGGAGCTTAGGCACAGCTTAGGTAGCTCGTGACTTGCTTCTGTCTGATACTCTCTCCCTTATTCTCTTTTTCCTGTCTACACTTGACTTAATGTTGCTTGCACTCAGCCTACATCTCACTATGGACCCATGTTATTGGATTTAGGTGTATTCAGGATCTGCCTAAGAGACTGTGCCCTGGGTGGGGCAGACAACTGCAGGGCCTTTCATCCAGCTTGAGATAGGGCTTTGAGGCACTCATTAGCCAGGAGGTGGCAGCAGTGCTTAGCCAACTTTAAAATATAAACCAGGGACAACTTAGGTACCTCTGCCCAATAGGTACCAACAGGTTTGGCAGATGACTGAGCTGCAGGCTTAAAAATACCAGTGATCTTTAATGGGTGGATGGTAGGTGCTTATCTGCTTCGTCAAGCACCAAAATGCCTTAAAAGAATCTAAGATAAGTGTTTCCAGGTTGAGTTGGGTAAATTATTTCTCTTTCCAGGCCTCAAAGCAACTAGAAAGTAATTCCCAAGCTCCTATCAGATGCCAGAGGATTTGCAGAAACAAACACAAAAGGAGAATGAACACAGTCAAAGCAAATTAATGTAAAAATAGAAATGAATGTTCATAGTCATTTTTTTGTATTATTCATCCAGCTATGGTTAATAATGTATAATGACATAACTCCAGATTTTAAAAGATATTTAGCCATTGCTCTGTTCAGCCATTTACTTTCAATGAGACTGAAGTTGCTAGGGCCATAAGATTTTGAAAATGAAGATTTTTAAAGAAATTTAGGCAGGTCACATCCTGCCTTCTACACTTCTAAATGAAATGGACATTACAGTGCAATCAGCTTTCAGAGTCTGGACAACACTCATTTACCAATGCTTATTGGTATCCTATATTTTTCTTTAGGCATATACCAGTGTTCAGGGAACCGGATGTTAGCAAACTGAAGAAAAACTACTGCCGCAATCCAGATGACGATGCTCATGGTCCCTGGTGCTACACAAGTGATCCACTCATCCCCTGGGACTACTGTCCTATTTCTAGATGTGAGTACTGAGTATGCCTCAGGCATTTGCAACTTGAGAATGACTGTCAGCTGCATAATTTTAGCTATGCAAAGGTGCCTTGTGCATTGGTCTCACTTCTGGCTGTCACATGTGGGACCAGACATTTTACATTCCTACTTGGAGTAATTTAGCTTGGGAGCAATGGGAGAAGCTGGCTGTGCAAAGACTGTGCAAAGCCTGTGCCAGGGGATGCTCCCAGGACTGGCTTTCAGGCTCTTTTATGTAGCTGCTGCAGCAGCATAGATAGAAGTCTAACAGATGGGCAAGTGCTTTCTAGTGGGACTACTTGCCACAGTCAGGTTGGCAGGGGAGGGAGGATGGCCCAGGGGTTAGGGTACTGGCCTGGGGCTTCAGAGACCCAGGTCAAATACCTTCTCTACAAGAGGTTTCCTATGTGACCAAAATCTCTGTGCCCCAATTCATTGTTAAATGAGAATAAAGCATGGCATATATTTGTGGGCAGCTACTGTCAAACTTCATAGAATGATTTAATGATCCCTCTCTTAAAAAATGTTATAGATGTCATTTCTACTAAAACTGTATATTAGAAATGGAATGGCTTCATCAGATGTAATCAAAAGGGATCAGGAAAAATAATTGAGGTTTAGTGGAAAAAGAAGCTCAGGCTGAAAAAGATTGGAATGCATGTTTAAACATGAAAGATATCTTTCTTCAATTTGTAGCTTAAAACCACAAATGCTTCATAACCTGGGAGACCATTTATATAGTAAAACAGGCTCTTGGATGTGTTCGTGTGATCTCTGGAGTTTAAGGATAAAGTTATAGTCATTTCTACTAGCAATTGGCAGTATTTTATCATGACCTGGCACAGCAACTGGTCTAAGAGGGAGATTCCCTAAATGCATGTGCTTTATGTTGTATTGTTGGAAAGTAAACAGACTGTGCAGAAGAATTTTTCCTTGTTAAGTAGAAAAGCCGAAGTTGAAGAAATGATAAATCTATTCTGCTTTTGATTCTATTGTCTATACTAATGAGGTACTTATAGCAAACATTAATAGGCATGATTTTTGGTTATCGCTGGCAGTGCTATTCCTGCTAATTCCTCTGCAATCCAGAGGAATGAATGCAGCTCGTGTAGATATACTAGAACTAGTTTAAACTAGTTAACTTGTGTACTGATAACATTGTAGCTGTGACAGATGTGGGCTTCAGCTGCTGTGCTGAGCGCTTGCCCCTGGTACTGGGTGGACTTGTAAAGCCTTTGCAGAAGCCAGGGTTGCTATGGTTAAACTGGCACAGGAAGCTGAACAAGCTAGCTCAGATATGACCACAAGCACTACAGTCATGCCTTCAAATTATCCTAAGATAAAAGGTCTCTTTTAAAAGGTAATGTGAACAGAATTTCAGCAACTTAAAGAAAATAAGTTAATTTTGATTAGGGTTGGAGGTACAGTGGAGGTAGATTTTGGATAGTAAATTTGCATCCAGATGCACTTTTTTCTAATATAAATATAAAGTCAAGGCTTGCAGTTTTCAAAAGGGTTAGAAGTAAGTTAGGAACCCAACTTCCTTTGAATCTCAGTTGGATTTAGTCACATAACTCCTTTAGGCCCCTGGGAAAATCATACCCTTATTTATTTGTTAGTACTGGCCAATACTTATCTTGAATTTACTGTGTACATGTGGTACATGTCTCATAGTTCAGACATTCAGATTTTAGCCAAGCAGAAAACCACAGAAAATTAACATTTTTTTAAATGTTGCTAAATTTTATCTGAATTCCATCCAGTTGCTCCTTTCTGCTAAACTTGCCCTTATGGCTTGATTCAAAGCCTACTGAAATCTTAATTTGGTAACTTATTGATCTTTAACACCGTATTTGTTTTCCTATTATGACTTAATTTTTTCTTATTATGGATGTCTTGTGAATTTGTCTAGGTAAAGGTGATACTACTCCGACCACAACCAGCTTAGATAGTAAGTAACTTTTACTTATTTTCCTTTGTTACTTTATGATAGTTTTCCTCTCTTCTGTGTGTTTCAGTGCATGCTGGAAAGGAACCTGAGTAACTTCTGTAGCGTTAGCGCTACTGGGGCTGCCCACCAATCATTCTCATATGTGCTTAAAAGGGACACAAGCAGATGTCACAGAAAGTGAACTGGATCAGTCTCACTCCAGTAGCTACAAAGCTGCTCAGGTTCTTAAATGTATTAGCAGCTTCTGTTTTGGCTGAAAAAGAATCATAGACACATAGACTGAGTCTTGAGTCTTAGACACTTAGACATGCTTAGAATTGATCCAGATCAAGTATCAAGGCATCCTGCTCCTACCTAAACTGTTGCAAACTCTGCTAACTTCCCGGTAGCACAGCTATCTCTTTCCATTTGAAGAGCTTTTCTTTAGGTTATTGAAGTCTTTTCTTTTGCTTGATTTGTAGCTACATTTGATAGCTAACTCCTCCACAAGTTTACTGCCCTCTTTCCCCCTTTTATTTTAGTGACTATTTTCCCTGACAAAATGGAGTATAAGCCATTGTTGTATCCAGTACACTAGCTGCGGCTGACTTTGCTTCTTTCTCAAACCTGAGGAAGGGCACGTTGTGCCCAAAAGCTTGGCTAACATAGAATCATAGAAAAGTAGGGTTGGAAGGGACCTTAGAAGGTCACATCTAGTCCAATCCACTGCTCAAAGCAGGACCGTCCCTAACTTGATCATCCCAGCTAAGGCCTGGTCTACCCGGGTCTTAAAAACCTCTAAGGATGGAGATTCCACAACCTCTCTGAGTAACCTGTTCCAGTGCTTTACTACCATCCTAGTAATTTTTTTTTTCTTATTATCTAACCTAAACCTCCCTTGCTGCAACTTGAGACCATTGCTCCTTGTTCAGTCATCTATCACCACTGAGAACAGTCCAGCTCCATCCTCTTTGGAACCACCCTCCAGGTAGTTGAAGGCTGCTTTTAATCCCCTCTCAGTCTTTTCTTCTCTAGACTAATACCTCTCTCAACTGTATATCATATTTACCCAAAGCCAGGCCTGGAGCTGTCACTGCTGCTTCTCCCTGGCCAGGCTTGGGCTCCCCTGGGCCTGTACTTGAATCTAAGACAAAGCTTTTTTTACCCCATGTTGATGAGAGAAAGAAACCTTGCCTTGAATTAGATTAAATATGATAATTGGACCAATACAAATATTACCAAGCAAAGCTTGCTTCTTGCCTAAGTTCCCAATGTGCTATGCACTCAGAAAGCATGCCTAATGCTTGATTGATGCTGACAACAGCACTCAGTTCTGTGGAGCCAGGATGGCATATAGTCCTGAGAACTGCCTCTGGGGCAGCACCCACCTTTTGCATAATAGTGCTTGTCACACACGTGTCCATGCGGGGTCCACAGAACCCCAAATTTCTCCTCACTCTGTTGCCAATCTCCCTATGAAACAGACGGAGCTTGCCCTGGGATAGCTCCCTAGTATCCTTCTACCGGACCTTGCCGACACAGCAAAGGTTCCCCTCCTCCCTCTTTTTGGGTTGAGAAGAAATTATGGGTGCCCCTCTCTGTAGAGAGAGCTAGCTCGCAGTATCTGTCGCTTGCTCAGAAATCTTTTTTTCCACAGGCAATCAGTAAGGAGACAAAACAACAACAAGATTTATGATGTAGGGAAAAAGAATTGTATAAGCCAAACAGACTGTAGGTTTTAAAAAACTGAACGGCAAAACAAATAAAGTTCCTTAACCTCTCATCTGGCTACAGATTAGTCCCTCCTGAGAGACCTGCCAGACTTCTTGGAGATCAGCCTTCATGCTGACTCTGCCAGGCCTGGCATCTTGGACTCTGCCAGGCCTGGCATCTGGAGTCATTGAACCCCCAAAGCCTGAGATTCAAAGACATTTGATTCTACCCTAGCTGGACCCTAAAAAGCCTCCTATCAGCATTACCCCAATTGCCCAGTACTCCCAGGGCAATTACTCCCAGATGCCTTGGCTATTATAGAGTTTATTTCCCCCCATCAAAGGTGGACTGTGCCTTGGGACTAACTCTTTCTGTCTGTGCTTGGGGTTGGAGAGGAGGATGGTAACTGGTTTTAGGTATGCATGCCTCAGTCCCCTGAATGAACCATATGCAAAATTATAAAGATCTACATAGACAGCATGACATAATTTATATGGTGATAACAGTAATCTAAAAGGATGCAGCATACCATTGGCATTCCAACAAAACCACACATATATGCTATACCAGTACCATAAAACAAAGGAAACATTCATGACTCCCCGTGAACCCCCAAACATAACAAGGTTTGTGACAGCACCTACCTTTGACATGACTGGAGCACTTGCCATGAAAGTGGTGGATCTGTGTTCCAGGTACTTGTCAGCCTCTATCTCCTACTTTGGACATGACCATGAGACTAGGGAACAGGCTGGGTGGCAGTACCACCCTAGTGAATTCACAAGGAAAATAAGAAAGAGAGAACATGACTGTATCCCACTGAGCAACTCAGGAGGGATCCTTGGTTCCCATCACTACTATCAGTACTGTTTATGCATTTTATATTAGACAGCTATTGATTTAAAACATACACATAGGCACTGAAATAACTCTTGCAGCAGAAGCCTTTGTGTGAACCTAGAAACAGGGGCATGCACTTCCTGAGCAACTTATTAACCCGCTGTTGTACAACAGATTGATGGCACAATTACAAATATCCAAATCCATATTGGAGAGTGAGATCACAGTAGGTGCTGTCCTTTGTATGGAATTCAGTGCAATTGTGGTGAGTTAGGCATCTTGGTCTGAAAAATGCATCCTTTGTGGGCTCTCTGGATGCCCAGTGAAGGCATGCCCTTTGCAGCCCTGAGTTAGATGCATAAGCTGTGACTATACCTATGATTTTCCTCTGCATATCTAGGCATCTTGCTGCTAAGCACCTAGGAATTCAGGTTCACCCTTTGGAAGCAGTCAGTTCTCTCTTGATTCTGTAAGGCTCTTTGGTATCTTTACCCTGTCGATCTGGATCACCCTTCTAAGGCAAAGCATCTAAGTTCCAGGTGTTGCAATACTTAGGTGGAGGCACCTATGAGAATGAATTGGACCTGGTCCTTATTTCTGTTGGCATGCAGAGAAAAAAAACAACAAAAAAACCCAGAAAATTACCTTTGGCTTTAAGAAAATTAGATTTACAGAAGGAAATTTAAAAATCCCTTAGTGAGCTGATACCTTTAACATGTTCTGTAACATTTATTCACCTTGCACGTGATGAAACATGGTGGTAGTTTTCAATATTTGTTTTTTAGTTCTGTAAATTTTGATCATAAAACCATGTACATGTGTTTGTCAACATCCCCCTAAAATTATGGCCCAGTCCCAATCCTATCGAAGTTATTTTGAATATTGTTTAAAGAAATTTTAGTAGCTCTGAGGAAAAAAAAAAGTCTCCATTTTATTCAATATTGACCTTTCTGTGGTCCTTATGTGCAATTGTACAGGTTTCCTACCGCTGTTTTTAGTAAAATGTGATCTCTGGACCTGCTTTCAGATACTGTCATTCCTTGTGCCTCAACAAAGCAGTTGAGAGTTGTAAATGGAATCCCAATGCAAAATAACCCAGGATGGATGGTTAGTTTGATGTACAGGTAACTATAACTGCACAGAAAGAACACAGTGCTTTTGTAAGAGAGTATGTGCTTTGAAATTACATTAAATGTGGATCTCCATGCAGGTTGTAGACTGTAGTTCAAGACTGGATAGTCAACACCCCCTCCCCTACCATTCTGCAATAAATGTTGGTTCTGGAGTCTACAGCTTTCATGTCAATGACTGGGTTCAAAGCTTGTCTTTTTCTATATAGATCATAAACCTTCTGCTAAATCATATGCTATAAATCAAATCTATATAGATCATAAATCTTCTGCATTGTAGATTAGCTACTGTAAATCTAGCTGCATCATAAGTTTTATTTCTACCCTTAAAATGTTTATTTTTTCTAGTGTTTTAGATGTAAGAAAATCTAGTTGCATGATGCCTCCTTTACTTTAAGAGCTGTGCTTTTGGATGTATATTGACGTATGCAGAATTTATACTGGTGTCAAATTTAACGCTATCTGTTCATGTCATTACATGCAATTGAATTATAATTTGTATGAAAAATAAGTATGGACAATAAGGAAATCCCTTTTTTCTGTAAAATAATATGTTAATGTTTACAACTGGAAACATTGCATTTTGCAAGATCCTGTTCAGTAAAATTTATAGTAGCATTTCATCTCACATTGTTCTGTTTAGTGCCAAGTAAAAAAAAAATCAACATAAAAAGCTTCGTTTTGATATTTGTCACTCCTAACCAGTCCTGTTTTTACTGTTAAAGTGAACCTGCAGGCAGAACCCTATGATAGGAAAGGTATTTTGTAAAAACAGGGGTTTTGGATCATTGAAATAGTCTCCTTCAGTGCTTTTCTCTGTCCTTCTGTCACCAATGTCTTTCTTGCTCCTCACCTACTTCCTACTAAATGGGAGATGTTAAAAATAATCCAGAAAAAGTGGTGCTTTATTTTAAATGTGGTGCGCTCCCATGCCAAGCCCCGCAAATGCCAAAAAGATGCAGCGTGCAACCTGGTTCTGCAGCATCTGTAAGAACCAGGCACTTTAGTGGGGCTTTTTTGGCACTTTTCTCTAATAGCTGATTGAATCAACTTTAGCTAAAAGTGCCAAAAAGCCCCACTGAAGTGCCCAATCTTTACAGAGCTGGGTTGAAATAATGCACTGTTTCTTCCAGTAAAGCTCTTTTTTTTTAACATCTGCAAGCATCCAATTACATTAGACTCATTATGAAGTTTCAGCTGGGTAATGTCAGGCATTGCTGCATAGGTGTGACAACACTGAAGATGTCTAGCCTCTGCAAATATCATTAGACACTCAAGCCTAAATCCTATGTTTCTGTAGGCATCTAAGTGCTATTTATGGGCTCCTATACATGTGTGCAGAGGCTGCTCGGACATACTGGAAAGTCAGCAATTAATTGAGTCTGCTGGAGCATGGCAATTGATGTGCTCTGGCAGCCTTCTGCATCACGTATATCAGTCCCCGCCCGTCTCTGAGCAGAAAATATGGCGGTGGGACGTTTTGAAATAAAACATGAAATAAAACATGAGCTTTAGTTCAAAGCACCTTGCTGCCATTTTTTCAGCATGGGGACATGCAGGGATGCTGATACACGTGATGCACGGGCGCTTTTAATTAGCACAGCTTGCTAATTAAAGTGCCCAGTGCTGCATCTCATAGCATGTGTAAAAATGCCCTGTTTCTAAGTATAGATGTATTAAAGTTATTTTTTTGGTCACTTAAATGGATTTTAGCTCTTCTTTCCACCTGGGTGACTAGACCTGTCCTTTTGAATAGAAGGGATCAACTTATAACCACTGTGACAATCCTGTTCCACTTAACAAGGTGGATAATTCTGTGCAAGTCCCTGAAACTTTGGTTGGATGGAGAATAGTGAGACAGAACAGCTATTTGAAACTGGAAGAGGCCTTCCTAGCATCAGCTTCCCTTTTAGTTCAATACCATAGGGCACCTATACATGAACAGCGAGGCTGCTCTGATGCTTTGTAATTACAGCGCATTGGAACAAACTTGATTAATCGAGTCTGCTGGAGCATGGTAATTGCCTTGCTCCTGCAGACTCCAGTGTTTTATGTAGCAATGTCCCCATGCTGAAAAATGGTGGTGGGGGTGCTTTGACTAAAGCTTGTTCAAGATTTAGTTAAAGCATCCCTGCTGCCATTTTTACCTGTGGGGATATTGATACATGAAATGCTTTGGGAGCCACTCTAATTAAAGCACCTCCTGCCCCATTCCCAGAGCACATGTATAAATGCCCATAGTGTTTATGACACTTACCCTGGGAGTTGGGATTGGGAGACCAAGGCTAGGTACAGGCATTAAAAAAGCCCGAGGTGGAATCGGTTGAAGATGCACAGTTTTCTGTAAGTGGCGTAGTTTTGATCAGTACAAGGCTCCAGGACCACCTCAGCCAGAAGGGTTTGAAACCGTATCTCTTACTTCCCAAAATGTCCTAGCTATCATGGCATGGGCAAGGCAGGGCCGAGAAGAGTAGATTGTGGAATGTTTTATCACAGGTTGATTCCCAAAGAGCTGCTTATTGTTGAGGCAAAGGGGGGTGGGTAAAACTGACAGGGAACAAAATTTTGTTTGAAAAAGTACAATATTGATGTATAATTATGGGGTTTTATTATACATTTTTGTACCGTTACAAACAACCCAGTAATTAAAAAATGGGCCTGAACCAAAACGTCATATCATGTCAATACTTTTCAGGAAGGAGAAGAGAGTTTGAAAACTGAATCTGGCTCCTGATTCTACAGACATTTAATTCTCTTAGACTCCTAAATCATAGAATGCAAAACCAATGTGGCAGATCTGAACACCTCTGAGCTTTGAAATATTCAAAACCCATATCTGTGTCCATATTTTGCAGATAAGTTCAATATCTACAATGCAAAGAAATTCAGTGACACACAGTTTTACATCCCCGAGCGTCTGCAGTCGGGGCCAGATGTTGTTATCAGTATATCTAAGCAAATCTCCAGCTACTTCAAAGTTTATGTCAGTGGGAAAGCAGAATTTTTACCTCTGAAGCTCTTAAAGGGGATGATATCAGTACTGCTAACTGCCATCGATAAAAAGATTATATTCTCCTGTTTCTGATACATTCATAACAAATCTGGGCAGAATCTAGCTTTTAAAAAAATCCAGCCCGTTGGGCCAGATGTTTTGTCCCTTGACTGGAACACAGACCAAAAGAAATAGAAGGCACCCATCTGTGTTGTTCTGCTATCTTTGAAGTGCAATATAGAATAAGCATAAGTCTGGGCGTCTTCCAGTAGTTCTTTCTAAAGCTTTGAACATCTGTATGATTTGAATTTATAAATTGTGAAAAGTTAAGCTTTTCCCAAATTGCTGACTGTTCTGACTCACTTTCCAAAGAGCAGCAGTAAATAAATACAACAATTTTGGAGGTACAAAGAAGGAAGCTTACTAATTTGCATTCCAAATTCTCTTCTTTATTCCTGGAATAGGAATATTCATGTCGATCACTTGAATTTTTCTTCATATATTAGGTTGCAATTTTTATAATCACACATAAGATGTCACATACCACAGATTGTTTCCAATTGAACTACAAGGGCGTGTCCAGATGAGCACGTACATGCATTTTCCCAGGATCAAATAGCAGTAGAACATAGTTGTCCCCAGGGAATGCCTGTGTACAAGTGCTCTGGTGCACGGCAAGCTGCCCCAGGTTGGGTAGGGGAGGCTAGGAACAGCATCTGGCTGTCTCAGGCAGCCTTAGCTGGGGTCCTGGGGCCCTCCCAGGGCTCCGGTGAGTGGTGGTGATCTAGTGCATGGAGCCTGGCTGGCAGCTGGAGTGTGGTTCTGACTGGCCAGGCTCCAGTTTCAGGCAGTGCACGTTGCTGCCATGTGCTCTACCCTGCTTTTTTCAGGCACAGGTTTTTTTTACACTGGGATCTTCTGGTGTCAAAAAACCCCCAATGTACTGCAAATTAGGAGCGTGGCAAATGCCTGCATGTGTGGTTTGCAGCACCACATACCACACGTGTGCACTCATCTGGACGTGCCCTAAGACTAAAACTTAAGGAATTAGTAATCAAATAGGAACTTTCTACTTTTAGATTACATTTTTGAATAATACGTAGTTCAATAAAGAACAAATGTTGCTGTTTTTCCCTGCTGGCAGTTGGAGGCTTGTGTAAAATCACCAGGGGAATTCAGTCCTGTCCCTACTATATTGATATCATTGCAATTTTATATTTGGCTCACTTCCTAGGTTCAACATTGATACCAAGGAATGAATGAACAGACAAATTATATAAACTGAACTTCCCTGTCATCTCTTGTTAGACACATTGGGCATGTCCAGATGAGCATGCATGTGCAATATGAGCATGCACATCCAGATGAGCATGCATGTGCAGTATGTGGCGCTGCAGACCTGCCTGCGGCACCACATACTGCACACACCGCAAATGCAGGCATTCCCTGTGCTGCTAATTTGCAGCACAGGGAGGGTTTTGGCACTGGGAGATCCTGGTGTCAAAAATACTCACAGCAGAGAAAAGCAGTGCAGTGCATGTGGCGGCAGCATGCATCTCCCAAACCCAGAGCCTGGCCAGCCAGAGCCATGCTCCAGCTGCCAGGCAGGCTCCCTGATGCCAGATTGCCACATCTGGAGCCCCAGAAGGCCGCTTTGACCCCAGGTAGGGCTTCTGGAGCCAGCCTCCCCTGGGGCAACCTGCCGCATGCCAGAGCGCATGTGCACAGGCATTCCCCAGGGACAAGTAGTGGTGGCACATATTGTACTGCTGCTGTTTTGTCCTTGAAGAAACGCATGTGCCTGCATGTCTGGATCTGGCCACTGGTGTGACAGTCTTGGGAAATCCATATCACTTCTGTCCTTTCTAAAACTGTATTGTGGCTAGAGAGAGAGAGGTATTTTCTGAGCCTGTTAGTCCACCTTTCACTAGCAATATATTCAGTTATAACAATGTGAATTATATTGCCAAGTGCCAGGAGCATTGTTAGAGATTTGGGTTTGGTACATGCAAACAATTTTATTTTTCTTCTACTTTTTTTTTCAGGGATAGACTTATTTGTGGAGGCTCTTTGATAAAGGAGAACTGGGTGCTAACTGCAAGACAGTGCTTCCCTTCTCGGTACAGTAGTTTGTAGCATTATTGAAATGTATTTCTTTCCTGTAAGACTGAAGCACAAGGCTTCTTTCCTAGAGCTGCTTTTGCTTTATCTTTAATCATTCTCTTTTGATATTTAAGGACCTTGGTATTTTTATATTTATTATTACATTCATTGCTCCAGAGGAATACTAGACATTTTATAGACAAGCATGAATATATTTTCAAGTGTATGGGTTAGGTAATTGCCTCTTTAAAATTAAGTCCATGCTGCTGCTGAAATAGCCAGAATATAATGCAAGTGTTGGTCAAACCTCTGGAAGGTCAAGGATTCGTGCCATCTGAGAATTAGCAAGTTTGGCCACTATGAGGAAACAACAGCTATGTTTCATAGCAGTTTGAGCTAAAACTATGTAGTCGTTCCAATCCCAAACCCTTCATCTGGCCATGTTGATTTTGGAAAAGCTTTGGTTCGGATCTGAAATTGGCAGTGTGCACAATATTAGTTAAGAGTGTTAGTTAAAATCAGTCAATGTTTACATGATGGTCACTGGACACTATAAAATAGTTTGTATTATTGTGTTATACAGTAAGTAAAACCCCAGCATGTCATATCAAATTTGCCTTACATAGGTACAAAGATTTGAAAGACTATAAAGCTTGGCTTGGAGTTCATGACGTCGAAGAGAGAGAAGAAGGGATGAAAAGACAAATTCGGAATATTTCCCAGTTGGTGTATGGTCCCGAAGGGTCTGATTTGATGTTACTGAAACTTTCCAGGTTAGTTTTTTGTACCACTAACTCTTAAGACCCCCAGTTGATAACAGTTTTCCTAAGTAAGAAGTACGGGTTTTGACTTCGACAGAAACAGTATTATAGATCCGGGGTTGGCAACCTCTTAAGAGCAACAGGCTGAATTAATGGAGCTCAGTCCAAAGACAGGCTACTGCTTCCAACCTAGCTGCCATCACTGCCACCACTGCTTCCAACCTACCACGTTGTCACGACTTGCTGCCAAATTGACGCTGACCTCCCAGCTTCACAGGCCACATGCAATTGCTTGGCAGGCTGTGGATTACCAAACCCTGTTGTAGACTATATTCATACAGATTAAACTCGTGGTTAGAACTGATTGTACAACAGAAAAATATATTTCACCAACATAAATAAATAACACCCTTGTGTTCTTCTCTGGTTTGCAATGTGCTTTGACAAAAAAATCAAATATAAATCAAATTAAAATAGAAAGGGAAAAAAATAATTCAGGCTGCTTGCAAACATTTAGAAAAACAACAACATGCTTTACGGAAAGAAGCAGCGCATTACTTTGACCCGGCTTTGCAGTGTCTGTATAGATCAGGAACTTCAGTGGGGATTTTTGACAATTTTAGATAAGCTGATTCAGTCAGCTATTGGATAAAAGTGCCAAAAAAGCCCCACTAAAGTGCCCAATTTTTACAGATGTCAGGCAAGCTGAATCCAACTAAGGCTCTGCCTCTTCCAGGCACGCATGTGGCTGAGCCTGGGAATGAGCCAAGTTTAAAGTGCCATTTTTGTTTTTTTAATGTCTACAAGCTGCCTCAATTTTTAATCTTCCACCTTTTATCCTTACTGAGATGAGAGCAGGATAAAGTAACATCAAGAAAGGATGAGAAATATTAGATAAAAATATAATGTTTTGTTTAAAAAAAAGTTGGTCAAAGCCAAGATTTTCTAGTAAGCTCTGTCTGTTCAGAAAGCCAATTTTGGCAAAAAAAAAACCTGTTGAACAGCTCTACTCACTGTGAAATAATTCATAATTTTGTAGCTAGTTTTTGCAGACTGTTTTTCCCCCTGTTTTGTCTAAAGGTACCCAATAGCTGCCTAATTTCCAGCCATGCCCAGGTTCTGCTTTTACAAAGGACAGCAGTTTGATGGAACTTACCTGTTTAGGTTTTAGTATTTTTGTCTTCTAGTAGTGTACAGCAGCTGAAAAGGGATTCTGGTCCACTACCAATAGGCATGGAAGCACCTTCTACATTGGTCCTAAGCAGTCTAATAAAACCAAATGAAAACACAACAAACAAACAAACAAACAAACAGAAGACCCCATAAGAGATGGGAGCATCAAGAGGAGGCCTGTAGATCTCTGTTTATGCAGATCCAATAACTGGAGTGAGTTGATACCCGAATAGCTACAGCCATTAGATTGTGATGAATTGTTTACATCATTCAGTTCCTAAATTACTGAGATTTGCACAACAACTAAGCCTGAATACTTGGAGTTCAAGCAGGTGGAATTCACCTGGCATTGAAAAATGTTGGTTCAGCAATCCCATCTGAAAAACATATGGTGTTTCTTGAACAACATGTCCTACATGTTTCCTCCTGATAACCAGGTCTCCTTCCCACCCTCCCTAAGAAATAGATATAAAAAAACCTAGAATGGAGTATGGTTTCAATTTACAGAATAAACCTTTGAGTGTAACTGAGAACATTTCGTACACAGGACCTTCAGACTATTTTCATATTATCAGAAATGTTTATTTTAATTAAATACATTTCCTTTATATCATCACTGTACAAAAAATTTAAATAGGATAAAAGTTGGGACAGCACTCTATGAACTCTTTTGATGGCTCACAGATGAAATGCAAAAAATATTAAAAGGATCTGCCAGGTCGAAATAAGATGGGAAAGAAAGCAACAATATTGGCCCAATTGTAATTCCTACTGTGAATTAGTATACATTTTAATGCTATTTTGAAAAATATTGTACTTTATCATGAAAAAATCAGTCACATGTACTCTTTGCTTTCTCTTCCCAGACCTGCAGTATTGAATGCTGAGGTGGATATAATCCGACTGCCCATTTCTGGATGTACCATTCCAGAGAAGACCACTTGCAGTGTTTATGGATGGGGATACACAGGATGTAAGAGACTTGTGTTTTAAAACTAAATAAGATAAAGTATGTTGACAGCCTATTTAGTTCCCATTCCTAATATAACAGGTGAAACTTGTATGGCTACCTGTTATTAAAGCCTCCAACCAATCCCATTTTAAGACCCTGTTTTCAGTTGCTTATAATTTGGCAAAATGTGTGTGTTTCAGCTACATTTTTCCATGTTCCATGTCTGCTTTCAGCTATTTTCTATTTTATTTTTTCTAGGAAAAGCAAAAAAAGTCAAACCCCAACCAGAATGGCTTGGAGTATTAAAAAAAAATTATATTAAATTATATTATATTTTTTTTTAAAAAAGGGCAACATATTCTATGAGGAGTTATAGCACCTCCATGTAGGGATTTTAAATTTGGGAGGGATGCATCTTTCTGCCATAACCATTAAAACTGGACTAAATTTGACCACATTATAAGATCACGGTTTGCACATGCTCAGTATGGGCTTCTACACAGGGATGTTTACACTGAAGTTTAGGGTTCATCCTGACGGTTTAGAGCTTAGCACATAAAATCTTTGAAGTGTTCCCATCTGCCTGGGAATTTTTCCATGTGCATTTGAGCAATTGCAGTTTTGTGCCACAAGTGGGCTGGCCTGTGGGTGAGCCCTGGAACTGGAACTATTTCTCCTAATATAGCTGTCAATGCCCCCTTTGCTGTGTCTGGGTAGCATGGAGAAGAAAACTTCCAGATTAGGATGCAGAGGGAACAAGGTTGAAACATGTGAGGGAGCCAAGCAGAATAAGTTGGGACAAAGGTCTTTACAGTTGAGTTGCTGGTAAAAATAAATTGTTGGTGGACTGTTTGGATACCGGAATGATGAACACCATAGAAAAAACAAAGAGGAAATTAAAATTCTGTCTTCATAGCAGGGCTCAAATAGCAGACAGTAATTCTGGGCCAGGACCATACAGTGAATAACAAGGAGAAAACAAAGCATTGAACAGATGTTCGTTAAATGAACACAGGCCATTCTGCGCGCTGAGTTAAGGGTCCTGTGGAAAAAAAATGATCTTGTAATCCAAGGCTGTGCCATGTTGTCTAGGCACAAGGAATGGTGAATTAAAGAGGCACAGACAACATTTAATTCTGGTATTACCTAACTTTAGAGTGTTTGACTTTGTTGCTGTTGTAATAAGGTAACTTATTCTCTTTTCATTAATGTCGATTTTGTGGGGGGAAAGCAGACATGTATAAACTATCAAATAATGATATGTTGACTGATAGTTATGTGTTGTCAGATTACAATAATTACTCCAGGCTTAGTTTTGGGGCTGCCACAAATCCTGAAAAACTGACAGCAACATAGTTGCACTGCCCCCAAAAGCATACTAGGAACTAGAACAAATCTATGACGATTACTGTTTAGTTATTCCCACCCCTCACTGTTAAGGGTTAGAAAGTAATCTACACCAACCTTCAATCAGATTTTTCCTCTTTGTGCACCAGTTATTGCATTGGTCACTATGCTGGAAAATGACTTGAAGACCTCATTCTTACCTGCCTACTCCCTACCCACGCATATGGGGGATGGAATAGCAGCCCCACTCAGAGTATACTTTAACCCCTCGTGGTGCAGTTATCACACACAAGGGAGTAAGAGGTACCGTGTGAAAAGTGTAAGACGGCTTATATTTGTAGTGTTAGTGTTGGCTCAGGTGAACTGAAAATACAAATCATAAAATGTGGCTAAGTTTTTTCATTACTGATGTATTTGACCACCTGGGATTCTTGGGATTTAGACGGCCTTCACAACTGGAAACACTCTATCAGCCTCAGCAGGATGAGGGCTGAAGGCCCACCATTGAGTCAAAGGGCAGAGTTTCTTAAATGGAGTTCTGTGTCCTCTCTTTGGGCATGAGAATAGTAGTTATACTTCATGGTTATGATATTCGCAGACAGACAACATCCAACAGGCAGTGCTAGGGAATAGAAGGTCTGATTACAGTGGTGTTCAGTAATAAGGGAAAGAATTGTTGGCAGAACAAATAGTAGTCCGGGATAATTAATAGGAGTAGTTTGTGCTATCTTGTTTTAATAGGTCTGATTGATTAATGTAATAGTCCTCAGAGTACTCCTGTCACATAGGGAAGTACTTGTTCTTATGCCTGTTTTTTATCTGATGGTGAGTGTGAGTGCAGTTAAGGACATGATTCTAGGTTCCCTTATATAGCTACTGAGGGAACCAGTTGGTTACATCCTTATATTAAATTGTGTAGTTTATGCATATTGTCACTACATGCTGTCAGAGGAAAAGCTATATGACCAGCTTACACATGTGGGTGTAGAGTGATCAGAGTCATAGCCATAAATTCATAGAGAAGTAGGGCTGGAAGGAACCTCCAGATGTCTAGTCTAATCGCCTGCCCCAGGCAGGTTCATCCCTGTGCAAACCATCCCATACAACCATAATCTATATTCTACATCAGACTACCATTAACCGTAACACAACATAGATCTAACACCCTAATTTGCCACAGGTATAGCAGGGGAACCACAGCAGCCGATGTCCTGCTTCTATAAAATGTTGTCAAAATATGCTCAAGAGGTCCTGGGTAGAGGGCCATGCCCCTTACTACAGAGGAAGGCAAACCCCCCCACAGTCCATACCAATTTGAACATGGGGTAAAATGTCTTCCTAACCCCAAATATGGAGATTGGTCTGACCCTGAATGTAGGAGCAAGACCCACTAACCAGGAACCTCTGACTTTGCTCCTAGCAGGAGAATCAGCACATCCCAGTTGAAAATCCCCAGCCTTAGCTGTAGCCAATACCCAGTGCCTCTGAGGAAGGCTTAAATATATAGCAGAAAAAGGGGGAGGGGAAATGGGAGCAATTAGCCAAGTCCAGAAGCATGGGAAATACCCATGGTAGAAAATAGGCATAGTTATGCCTAGATCATCCTTGACTAGTGGCTGTCCAACCTCTTCTTGAGCACCTGCGGTGATGGAGGTCCCCTGGGCAACTTCCCTAGGCAATTTATTTGATTACCTTACTATTCTCACAGTGAAAAAGTTTTTCCAGATATTCAATTCAAATTTACTTTGCTGCAACTTCAGGCCATTGGTCTGCATCTTCTTCTTTGCAGCAAGAAAGAAAAGGTGCAGTCTCTCTTTTTTTATGGCAGCCCTTCAGGTATTTGTATCCTGCTATCCTGTCCCCTCTTAAGTGCCTTTTTTTGCAAGCTGAACACGCCTTGCTCCTTCAGCCTTTCCTCATATGTCTTGGCTTCTAAGCCCTTGATCATCTTTGTTGCCTGCCTCCGGACCCTCGGTAATTTCTCCATGTCCTTGTTAAAATGTGGAGCCCAGACATACACACGGTACTCTAGGGGAGGCCTAACCAGCGCTGAGTAGAGAGACACTATCACTTCCCGTGTCTTCCACCTAATGCTTCTGTTAATGAAGCCCAAAACCACATTCGCCTTTTGTGTGGGTGTATCAGACTGCAGACTCATTCTGAGTCTGTGGTCTACCAAGACTCCCATTGCCTTTTCTGTAGAGCTGCAATCCACTTTGAATTTGTATTTTTGATTATTCCTCCCAACGTGCAGTACCTTGCATTTGTCTGCACTGAACTTCATCCTATTAGTTCTAGCCCAACTTTCCAATCTGCTGAGATCCTTCTGAACTTTGCTCTCATCTTCCAACATGTTTGTAATCCTTTTCATTTTCGTGTTATCTGCAAACTTGCTCAAGAAGCTTTCTATGCCAGCCTCCAAATCATTAATAAACACGTTGAACAGTACTGGGCCCACAACAGACCCCTGTGGGACTCCACTCGAAATCTCCTGCCATTCTGACATGGAGCCATTAATAATTACCATTTCCCTGTGGCTGTTGAGCCAGTTATCTATCCATCTTGTAGCAATTTAATCCAGCCCATATTTCTTCAATTTGTTTCTGAGAAGGTCATGCAGGACGTTGTCAAAAGCCTTGCTGAAGTCCAGATGCACTATATCCACAGCATTCCCTATATCCACCCAAATTATTATTTTGTCAAAGAAGGAGATCGGCTTTGTTTGACACAATTTGCTTTTCATAAATTCATGCTGGCTGCTTGCAACCAGCTTTTCACCTTCCAGATACTTGCCAATGGCCTTTCTCAGGATATGCTCCAGTAACTTCCAAGGTATTGAGGTGAGGCTAACCAGCCTGTAGTTCCCTGGGTCATCCTTCTTTCCTTTTTTAAAGAGGGGTACTTCACTGGCCCATTTCCAGCCCTCTGGTACCTGGCTCGTCTACCATGACTTCATGAAGATCATTGCCAAGGGCTCCGGGATCTCATCTACCAGTCCCTTCAGGACCCTGGGACGAAGCTCATCTGGCCCTGCTGGCTTGAACTCATTTCTTGTTACCTCCTCCCTCAGCTTGCCCCCTTTCTTATCCAGGTAATTCCTATTAGGTGTCTGGAAGTTTTAATTTTTTTGTAAAGACCGAGACAAAGTAGCTGTTGAGTAGCTCCGCCTTCTTCGTATCTTCAGTGAGGAGTTCCTCCTGGTTTGTTAACAGAGGAACCCACAGCTTCCGTGGTCCTTCTTTTCTGGCCAACACGCTTATAGAACATCTTCTTATTGTCCTCCTCCTTTGCCAGGTGCAGCTCATTCTTTATCTATCTGGTTTTGTCCCTGCAGGTTCTTGCTATTTCATGGTATGTATTCTTAGTGACCTCCCATTCTTCAATTGCCTGTATGCTTTCCTTTTGCATTTCAGACATCCTAGAAGCTCCTTGTGCACCAACAATGGTTTCTTGCCATTCTTTTCATGTCAGGACAGTTTCCTGTTGGGTTTCCAAAACTGTGCCCTTTAGACACTCCCAGCCCTCCTGGGTGCTTTTATCTTTCAATCTACCCTTCATGACACCATGCCTATTAGTTCCCTGACCTGGATGAAATTAGCCTTTTTGAAATCTAGCATCCTAATTTTGCTGACCTTATGCTTTCCTTGTCCCAGGATCTGAAATTCTAGTTTGACGTGATCACTTCCTCCCAAGTTACCCATCACCTTCCCATCCTCCACCAGTTCTTCCCTGTTGGTCAGGACAAGATCCAAGATAGATGATACCCTAGTTGTTTCGTCCACTTTTTGGAAGAGAAAGTTTTCCTCCACACAGATTAGGAACTGGTTTGCCATTTTATGCATTGTTCTTTCAGCAGATGGCCAAAAAAATTGAAGTCTCCTATCAGTAGCATCCCATAGCTTTTAGATAGATTTGTCACCTGCTTACCGCGTGCCTCATCTACCTCTTCTTCCTGATTAGGTGGTCTATAATAAATCCCCACCATTATATTGATGCTACGTCTTTCACCTTTCATCTTTACCCAAATGCATTTTAATTTGCCATCTTCTTCCTCCTGAACCAGGGAACAAATGTATGTGTTTTTGACATACAAATAAACACCACCACATTTTCTCCCAACCCTGTCCTTCCAAAACAGAGTGTAACCCTCCATGTTCCAGTCATAAGAGTTGTCCCACCAGGTTCCAGTGATGCCCATCAGATTGTAGTTCTTTTCACAGACTGCAGCTTCCGACTCATCTTGTGTATTCCCCCTACTTCTTGTATTTGTATACGTGCATCTCTGAGGCATGGGTCCAAGCAGGTTCCAGCGTGGAGGCCTGTGGTCATGTGGGTCCTGGCATGGGGCACTTGGGATTTTCTGGGCTCCATGCACTACATGGACTTTCCCTTCTTGTGGAGATGCATCCCTTACATGCATTTCTGTGAGTGGGGAAAGCCAGGCAGGTGCTTGGGCACCTCTAGCCTCCAAAGCAGCTCCCTGGGGTGGTGGAGGTACTAATATATTATTGCTGCTGATGTCTATTTGGTCTATGGCAGTAGAGTATGGGCAGTCCAGAACTGCCCACCCACTACTGCCACAGACCAAATAGATGTGAACATCTTAATATATTAGTACCTTTTGTTCTGCTAAACTTTCTTCCTAGGGTTGTTTCTGGCATGCTCTTCTGTGTTTTGCTTGTATTCATTGCAAGAGAGGGGGTGAAACCCTTCTATGTTGAGGTCAGTGAGTAAACTCCCATTGACTTCAAAGGAGCTAGGGTTTTACTCTAAGTCACAGTTTCACCCACAGTGATTGTTCCAATATCATACAACAAGTCAGTGATTGCTTAAGAATAAAACTTATGAATCCATGTTTAGTTTTTTATCCAGTGACAGCATACAGCTCCAGGTACTATACCTGAAGAATATAATAGTAATGAGATATATGTATTATACATAACACATGCCAACATATCAGATGCATTTCTGACGTTTTTGTTGGAGCAAATATAAGAAAGGTAAAAGATACACGTTCATTAGCATGAGGATGGGGAAGAGAGCAACAGTTAAGTATACATGATTCACTGTAAATGGTCTTGCGCTCTATGTTTTTCATGAAAACAAAATATTGTTTGTTCATAATTGTTTTCCTGATTTTCCATGTTAGTGATTCCCTCTGATGGCCTGCTCCGGGTAGCGAACCTGCCTATTGTAGGAAATGAGAAGTGCAACCAGTATCTCAAAGGGAAAATCACTGTGAATGAGTCAGAAATCTGTGCTGGGGCTGAGACCATTGGTTCCGGACCTTGTGAGGTAAAGTAGTATTGCAGCAAATGGAGTGAGGGAGTCTACAAACACAGGGCAGGGTGTTTTTTTCTTTTTAATGACAAATAATTTATTTGTTGTTTTGCCTAATTATTTTGTATGCATTAAATTTATGAGTAGAAATCACATGTTGGTACTACTTCGCATTGCAAACAAAAATCCTTTTTCTGACATTGGGTAGTACCTTATTTAGCAAATGTTCCTTTAAAGTCACTGAGTCTGTGACCTTATTACAGGAAAGTACTTTAGGGTGTTAAATTCACTTACATGTTAACATCACATGCTGAATTGCTCTCCAGGACAGGGATCTATTTCTGGTGTAAGTTACTATTCAGTATAATAATAACTGGTAAAATAAAAATAACATAGTGTATATGTTGTTAGAGCGAGAAGGAGAGAGAACATATTTATACTCATCGCAGAAAGTGGCAAGGGTCTTACAAGAGACAAAAGGAAAAACAGACTCCAGCTGTTTCTATGTAAAACAGTTGAATTGGTTGTACTTTGTGGAGGTATTTGCTATCCTTCTATTACAATCTGCATCTGAGCCCATATTTTAGGAATAGGGGGTGGGATTAAATGACCCGTAAGGTCTATTTCAATCTTATGAATCTGAGAAGCCAAAGGGAATATTTACATTCATTTTAGTGGGTCATTTTTTTATTCTTTACTCAAAATTGAACTGCTTGAATGAACACCCCTAGTATGATTATAGTTCCCTAACTGAAGTGATATTACTAAAATAAAAGAATGTTTAATGCTCAAGGGTAGCATCAAAATTCACTAGGGATCCACGGGATCTTAACAAAGCATTTTCTTTGTAATTAAGTGTTTCATTATATGTGCGATTTTATGTATGCTAAATTAAATATTAGCATGTATGTATCTGCGTGAAACCCTCAGGAAATCCAGTGCTTCATATCGCCCTGAAGGAAGAAAAGCCATGCATTGATATAAGCAGTGACTGTAACCAACACATGGTTCTTCCTTCCTGTGTTCCACTTGCAACAGCCTTTCTCAACAAGGCACAGACAGTAAAACTGAGGCAAACTGGCAGGTGACACACCACTTCAGAAAGTATTTTACTAGAAGGTTTTGGGCAATACTGTAGCAGTGCATCTGGGGATTTTCCTGTAATCAGTGAGAGCAAAAACCCTAGTAAGGGTCAATCCCTGTTAATTCTCCAGTGCACTTGAGAAAATACAGTGTAATTTGACAGGTTTCACATTTTTAAGACAGACAAATGTTGGGCTTTGCTATCTTCACATACATACCCAAAGCCCTTGCCCTTCAACATTTGACACTTAAGAGGATAAGCTTGCTGGTTCTCTCAGTAATACCTTTTTATCAATAGCCTACCAACACAGCAAAGAGATTTTCCAAGCAGCTGCTCTTTTAGCAGTCTGATTTATATGTGCATGGACGCATTTTGTTCTTGCCAGGTAGCTGAAAGAAAAGATCAATAGTATTCATAGTGGAAGATTGAAGGCATTGTAACCACATGTGAAAAAGGATCGGGATGGGGTCTAACGTGGCTTATTTTTTGTAAGGCCATGCCAAACCTGCTTGTTGACATAGACCCTGACTGCGATGTTTTTATTTAACCTGAATATCACCTAACTCTGGGAGATGGTGGCAGAATAGCTAAAACATCTTGCTAAATTCCAGTGCTGTGAGCCTTGGCTGTTTTTTGTCAAGGGCCATTCCCAGTTGATCAAGCTGTAAATGGGTTTACCTGGTCATTCAGCTCTGGTGACTGAGCTACACGACTCTCTTATGTGCTGGTAATTACAGAAACTTAGATTCCTTAAACACAGCAGCTCATTGATCATTAGACTCAGGTGGAGGTGGACCTTATGGGTGTGTGTGTGTGTGTGTGTGTGTGTGTGTGTGTGTGTGTCCGTGTCCGTGTCCGTCCCATTCTATGAATAGCTTCACTAATGGTGGTACCCGAAAGAATCTAGACCAAGAAAACAACTTTTAACTTTTTAAAAATAATGTTTGTTTTTTATTTCTCTTTTCTCAGCGGGATTATGGTGGTCCCTTGGTGTGTGAACAAAACAGGATGAAAATAGTAGTGGGTGTTATCGTTCCTGGTCGTGGATGTGCCATTCCAAATCGGCCTGGTATTTTTGTCCGAGTGGCATATTACTCCAAGTGGATACGCAAAATCTTGCTGACATACAAATGAGTTATAACAGAATATTCTACATAAAAGAACCACTTCCATTCTCATGAAGATTTCAGAGAACGTGAAATTAACGTGTAGTGTAAAGATCCATGATTCTTTTTTTAAACTACTTGCTAGTCAAGTTGTTGAGCTTCTGTTGATATTTATGGGTGTTTTCTGATGTTTTTGTCTACCAGTGTTGTTTTATAAATGTTGAAGTGAGCTACAGTATATGCAAGTATAGTGACATATTTCCTGAAGATACTTGAATGGGTAAACAATGCTAATGCTGGCTGATAATGAGTTTTATGGAAATAGATCATGTGGTTTCTTTTTATGCTGCTCTTCTGGTCAGCTTGTTCGTGAGAAACAAAGGAAGTTTGTTTTACACACCTCTTTCAGACTATGAGCCATGTACTGCTCTATCAGTCTTCCTGAGAGCTGAGAGCATTGATCTGTACAACATTTATGGACCTATTTCTCTTCTCCTATATTCAGAATTTAAATTCCTCCAATGTCTAATTTTAAAATGTAATCTCTTTAACTTCTCATTGTGGACTCAAGTCTTTAAACACTCCATCAGCAGAGTTCTTATCGAAGTCAATGGGAATGGTCTTTACACAATTTATTGGAACTAGCTCTATACTTGCTACCCTACAAGTATATAGTATATATTATAACAAAACACCTGAAAAGGGAAGAGACATAGTAGTAGGTTATTAGCAAATTTTCAGTCATTTGCTTTTTATTTTAAAGTCTCCTAATTAATGCTGTATTACAGTGCCAAGTAAAGTGTATTTCATAGAGTTCCAGTAATGTATCCTGATTAGCTAATAACAGACCATTTTTATCATTAAAATAAATGATTTTCATATAGGGAGTTAAGTTCGTATCTCTCTTTCATTAACTGTGCTGTAAATTGAAGGACTCTAGTTACCTCAAGGGAGCTACTCTGCATTTATAGCAGTATAGTGAGAGTGGAATTTGGCCCTTAGCTGATAAAATTAACAGGGAAAAAGAAGAATATTTAATGTAGCTAAGGCCAAGTTATGTCTTCAGATATGTAAATGAAAAATGCATACTCTCTCTGGGGGTAGAGTCTCTATCTGTCTCGTATAACAAGCCAAACCAGTAAAAGAACTATGGTTTGAAAATAGAGTGGAAGGTGTCATTTAACTTCAGTAACATTACCCATCTCTTCTTTATGGGTGTCATATATTCTCTTTAATAAAAAACTAACTGTATGTGGCCAAAAAATACATCTCTAACATCATGTGTTTGAATTTAATAAAACTATCATGGGGGTGAGTATTGTCTGCTATACAATGTGCAAAGCATTGCTAATAGTTTAATTGCTTGCGTTTCTTTTGTGTGTGCACATGTAGAATCATAATTTTCTTTATTACTGTTGAACCAAGAAAAAAAACAACCCAGCATCTATGAGGGGTTGCTCCTTTAGAACACATTGTATAAATGAAAAAACCGAGCAATTAGCAAATGGCAATATTTTCTAATAGATGGTCTAATTACCCTGTAATTGCTGGCAAATGGATATGACATATAATCCCATTGTACTTATTATTACAGTACATTAAATCATATACGTAACTTTATGGTTACTTTATTTGTGAACGATATAATTGTCTATGTTCCAGAAAGCAAACTGTTCAGTTAAGCAAAGTGCATAACTACATTGCTCCTAAACTGACATCTTTTCATAGAGTCACACGAATAAAACATGTTTTGTTATAGTTACACGCTGAGTGGCATAGTGCTGAATCCTGCCCTAGTGAAAAAGTAACCCTGCAAGGGGAGCTGTGTTGGGAGGCACCCAAAGGACTGACTCACTAATCTTTATTCAGCAAAGCACTTTAATTGGATTTACATGTGTGCTTAAGTGTTTTGGTGAATGGGATTGAACTTCAGCCTATGTTTAAGTACATCATTAAATTAAGGCTTATGTCCAGCACTCAGAACATTCTGCTGGTACAAAGCAAGAAGTCTTTCAGCAATCAGATATACAGGTGTGTTCCTGAAAATCCTTCCTTATCCTTGGTCAAAATGGAGCTATTTATGTGAGTAATGACCAGCAATCCTGGTTTTCTGATTTTATATATAGTGGCGTTTCATTTAAATCAGGGAAAAATTTAAATATTGGGTTAATTTTTCTATTTGTTTTATCAGAGAAAACCAGGATCCCTGGTAAGGACAAGGCCTTCCAGGTTCTAGATCCTAGACTGACATACTTCCCATTGCACTCTGGCTCTTTTGCACCCTTTGCTTTCTGGTTCCTCCTATTCAGTAACCTAGCAGAGGGCAGGATTTAGCCTGTTGTAGTTACAGATAATTGTCGCCATATATGTAAAAATATATATTCTCATTAAATATATGTTGACTATATCTTAAGAAACAATTAACTTTTAAAGACAGATAAGGGACTCCTAGTGAGTTTTTATTTTTGGTTGTCAGAACATGGAAGATGTATATAATTCCATGTCACTTTTCCTATTCTAAGAATTGTTATGTGCTCACTGTACTATATTTGCAGGCATTTTGTTATGTCTACCAAAAATATGAAGAAATGGATCCTAAAGTATTTTAGTTACACACTTCTGCTGTGCAGAAGATAATATGATTTTATATATATATATATATATACATATATATATATATATATATATATGATAAATATACTGTTTTTTGTTAGACAATGTGTAAGGAATTTTACCTGTTTGTTCTAGGCAGCGTCTCGATAAAACAAGTTGTGTAGAGTCGATGCTCTAGAATGTAACACGTTTGCAAGCACTTGCTTATCAGGTGCTCTCTCTCTCAGCATGGAGGGGACTTGAGACTCTGAAGAGCAAGGTTAGAGAAGAATTGACATGTGGTAATGAATTTGTACTTCATTTATTCCTGTGAATATTTCTTGTTGGTACCAATGGTACCGTACCAGGCAAATGTTATAGCTACAGCATTCTCTTTAAAAAGGACACTGTTGATATATATTTCACTGTTTTGGAAATACTTGTTTCTGTAATAACCAGAAGCTGACCCAGTGTTCACTGATGTCACTGGAAAGTCTCCTGCTGCTTTAAATGGGCCTTGAGCTGGGCTCTATGGATTAATTACAGTCATGATCAGATTTAAAAGAATTGGGTGGTAATGGTTAGAAGTTACAAAACAAAGACGAAAACTCTTAGTCATTGATGTTTGTCTTGAATTCGAGCTCATCTTTGTTCCTCACATTTTTCATGCAAAAAATAAATAAATAAAAGACTACTCCTTAGACTATGGAAGATGTGATAACTGGTTTTAAACAGGATAATGAGAACTTTGCTGCAATTTTCTCTGAGCGCTGGCTCTGGCTGATAGCTCTTACTTCTGTAATGCAAACCTTCTCTCCAAACTTTGGGGTGTTTTTGTTTTTCATTATTACCTTCCAGTTAAGACTAAGGGGAAAAGAAACAAAGGGCCCTTTGTAATTAAAGCTCTCATTAAATCTGCTGGGCTAGTCTTTTATGATGCTGCTAAAACCCCCTTCTCTAGTTTAAGAGAAGAGCTCTTATAGAGCCTCCTAAAATCCTTGGACAAGTAGTGCCATTGAACTTCTTGATGACATTCACATGAAACAAGGCCTTCTGGAAAGGGCCCAAATATCTGTGTGGGGTACAACCTCCTCAGGCAAAATGCCCCTTGAAATCAGAGAGTGCTTTTTGCCAAAAGACTGGAAAACTAGACTTGAAATGTGCTCAACCCTTCAATCTTGGCTGCACACCCAATTACATAGGTCCTTGGGTAGAAAAGCATGGAAAACCTGGAGTCTGTGGTGGCAAGTGCTCCAGCAGCCTAGGCTTATATGTATTCTTTCAGAAGCCTAATAATGAGTGAACTGATCCCAGTGGAAATCGTTGAGAGCTTTGTCTGCATAAGGGCTGTTTACTTACTGATTACTTCCTTCATCCTTTGTGTGCACTGGCATATTACTGTATCATGAATGTTGGGGCTGCTGGCAGGCACTAACATTGCTTTTCACCTTTTCCATTGTCCCTTTTTAAACAGGCTTGTGGGCAATTGCGTATGGAGTTTCCTAATTTGGAATCTAACTGCAGGGGCTGTCAGTGTAACTCGGTGGATGGTGTGATAATTTCTTGTATGTAAACAGAAAAAAATTATGAATGCTTCCTATTGAATGGGGGTAACGGCATGCCTACCCAGAAGGGAACACTGTAGTTATAACTTATATTACAAAGATTCTGTAATTAATGGCATCATCATTAGTTAATAAAGTTGGTATTTTTGTAACTGTTTATTCTTATTATTCTTAATAAAACATTTTATAGAAAAAAACCAATAGCATAGTCAGCATTATAGTTTTTATTTTAAGAAAAATACATTTGGAAGATCTTGCTGTGATAGAAAAATATAATGCTTCCCCCTTCTCCCCCCTTGATTTCAGTGAGGGTTTTGAGTGTACAAAGAAGTAAGGATTGAGAACTAATGGAAAATCTTCCTCTGATATGTGTTCAATACTTCTAGTTAAAAAGCTTACAAATAAAGATATAACTGATTCTACCAAGTTACACTCAGTATTTCAGTGCTCAAAATGAGAGGGTTGATTAAGTCCAAATGTACTAGGATTGAAAAAGAGAAGAAAAACAAAGGATAAGACTAGCAGGAAAAAGTGTAATTAAAACAGAATATAAAGTCAGACAGCACCTGCCAGGAGATTTGTAACCCTTTAAAAGAACAGTAGTAGAGGTCTGGCATCATCAACTTTGATCTCAGTTTACGTCCTTATTTCCTAGGATCTTGGATAGCAATCCTCTGTTTATCTCTGGGGCTCCAAGCTTATATATCAGTCTGGAACTGTACTACTTATTTTCTCTTTTAGAGTGAGAAGTCCAGCATTTGTTTTCTATCCGTTAAAATATATTCAACTCCAACCCCAGTTTGAATGACTTGGTTTTAAATGTTTATGCTTTGGACATCCCAACACAGATCTAACTTTTGCCAATGGACCTATCTTTTTAATAGTTTGACACAGAGCCGGTCCTGGGGGTGGGTGATTGCTCAGGGTTTGGGGGCTGCCCCCTCCTGCACACACCCATGTGATCAGAGTGCACACACATGTATGAGCAGCCTGTGCTCACAACAGTGCTCTCCTCCACCCAGGCAGGAGAAGTGGTGCCCAGCCCAGCCTGCCCCCAACCTCCGGCTGTCGGTCAGGAGGAACAGTGTGGACAACAGCAGCAGGGTCTGCCCACTTTCCTGCCTGGTGCACTATGCCACTGTCTTCCGGCTGGACTGACTGTGCCCTGTACCCCTGTCTTCCTCTGCCTGTAGCAGTGCCACTGACTTGTGGGGGGAGCACCAAAATACATGTTTGCCTAGGGTGTCATTTTCCCTAAGGCCACCTCTGGTTTGACTTCTTATGCACTTTGGGGTGTTTGAAATCTGAATTTTGTTGACAATGATGATAATACTTTGGAACCTCCTTCCCTCCAAGAGACTTACCTAACATTTGCATAGTACTTTGGAGATAGAAAGCCTTGTATCCAGAACTAAGTCAGTGGTTATGGCTTTGTTATCTTTGGGAGTTAATAAGAGTATTGCACATCAGCCATAATAATTGAGAAAAGATGCTTAGTTTTTGTTTGCTGCACTTTGCTATTTAACAATCCACATGTAAACAGAACAAGCCATTAGCGGAACTTGGTTGTATATCAACCCTGCCTTCAAAAGTGCCTATGTCTGGACAGCTATGTTCTAATAAAAAATACTCAATAAATAGGAAAGGAAGCATCTGGATGGAAAATGGCACGCCATAAAAAGGTTAATACCAAAGAAGCTCTAACATGAGCAGATAACATTCTTTTATGTGCTCTCACTTTTTGTAACATGGGATATATGGTGCGAAAAGCTGTAATAGAATAGCCTAATCATATTAGTTCTCCTAAAATGGTCCACACTGTCTCAGAACACTTAAGAATGGGCAGTGATTTCTTCTATGTATAGAGAGGACTGTAATTCACAGCAAGGGAGAGACCAGGGGCTTCCACTAAATCCATTTAAAAGAATAACAAAGCCCTACTGATGCAAATTTTAGGGCCAGAATCCTGTTCTCCTTATCCATGTTTGTATTCTGGTTGGCATCAGGATTGCTTTAGGTCCTAATTCAGCCAAGGATTTAAGCATGTAGTCCAGCCCACCTCTGTCAAAGCAATTTAGCACATTTAGGCATGTACTTTTAAGTCCCACTGAAGTCTCACTGCTTAGTAATGAATATGGTGTTTGTTCTTCTTTTCTATTCAGAGATATTTTTACACTTGAAAAATACAAGAATATATACAAGAATGTTGCATTTCGTTTGAAAGATAGGAGCCCTCATTTTCAGACATGCAAATCGACTACTTTTTTTCTAGACTGAAGATTTTCTTTTACTATAAAGTACATTTATTAAGAGAGTGTTTTTGTGCTAAGTATCTACTGACTTCAGTGTAAATTAAGGATGCACAACACCTCAGCACGTATCAAGATACAATCTTCTAGACAATATTGTTCTTCGTCTCGTGTGTTAAAATTCTGCCTTGTTGGGGGAAAAATCCAAGCCAGATGTTGAGTCAGTTAAGGCAGTAAATATAAACTATGCAGAAGGTATACGGTTGAATGGGGATACTTAAAAGTAAGAATAAGGATATAGGTACATTCAGAGACTTGGGGTAAGGTTTTCTCCCTAGTGATAAGTGAGTTTATAGTGCGTAATACAGTTTAGATAATATTAATTGAAAAAATTCCCAGCTGGTTTTGTTTCCCAGAGGATTGACATCATTATGATACACAAACAGGAAATATGCATCACATCAACATGGCTGTTATGGACTGGATCATAGACCTTTCGTGCCTGGTCCATAAATGTGCCATCTGCTGTTAACTCATTGAGTTTCACAACATTGTTACGCCATACTAGAATTTAAAAAAAGAAAGAAAAAAACCTTGCATTGCTACTTTTTCTTCAGCTGAAGGAAAGTTTAGAAAGGTTGCTGTTTATAACAGGATAAGCAATTGTATGAGCGAATGACACAACCATAAATAAAAAAACGATTTTCATTATAGAGTCATTTAAAACTCCAATATGTTGGCCTGATTTGTGTCTCCTCAGGCACCTGAGACCACAAAACCTCACACAGGTACTGAATAACTTAGGCACTAGGAGTTAGTGCACACCCTTGAGGACCAGGAGTAGCACACTGGCATTGCCTTGTCCCGTACGGACATCCTCTTCTGGGGAAAGGAATTACATCCTGTCATTCTCTTCAGCATTTCCTACCGCTGAGCTGAGGTGGCTCCACTCAGTCCACTGGCTTCTATGAATCCCATTCTTAAGATTACACCCACCCATCTCTAAGAAGCCTAGGTACCTAATTTGAGGCTGTATTTTGGCAGTATGCCTGAAGTTACAATGTTCAACCCTGAATCATCTAATACATATAGCTCCCTTTTGACTCCAGTCCCTGGAAATTTTTACCTTTAGGTTGTTCACTCAGGTATTGCAAGGAGCCAAAGTAAGTGTT